CGTTCCTCTGCCGCCGCCCCCCCTCCCCACCAAGGCTCCCTCTAAGCTGCGGGGAGTCTCCCTGTGAGCAAAAATCCTGCTTGGTGAGCTGCTGGCATTAAAGTTGTGAGCGAGCGATTTGGCCGCAGCATAAATTAGTCTGCTCTGGAGCCCTCCTTCCTGAGCGAAGACAAAAAGGTGTGAGCCGGAGGCTAAAAAACTGTGAGCTGGCTCACACTGACTCACCTCAGAGGGAACACTGCTTCCCACCCATAACAGAGAGGTCCCTGTTCAGCAAAGGAGGCCTGGGAATGTCTCTGCTCTGCTTTCTGGATGGGACAATTAACGCTGTTCCCTGTTTTATTGTTCAGAAGTCTGCCCTCTCCCCACAGGTGGGGCTGGCTCGAGAACTAAAGTCCTACGTGTGTACACGCACACACCCTGGTGTGGTTCTGTCTCCCAGCATGCTGAGCAGAATGGCCTGTGAAAGCGCTATGAGTCGACAGGGGACGGGTATCCTACATAAGAACATGAGAGAAGCCAATGTTGGATCAGGCCAAAGGCCCATCCAGTCCAACACTCTCTGTGTCTCACCCAGTGGCCAGAAATACCAGGTGCCATCAGGAGGTCCAGCAGTGGGGCCAGCACACCAGAAGCCCCTCCCACTGTCCCTGCCCCCCCCCGCACCAAGAAGACAGAGCATCCCTTGCCCCAGACTGAGAGTTCCTATCTAGACCTTGTGGCTAAGAGCCACGGATGGACTCCTGCTCCATGTGCTTATCCAATTCCCTCTTGAAGGCATCCATGCTTGTAGCCACCACCACCTTCTCCGTTCCTCTTCCAAGGCCTGTTACCCCTCTGCCTCCTTGAGCAGGCTCTCTCTCTCTCTCTCTCTCTCTCTCTCTCTCTCTCAGCCTCAGGCAGCAACCAGGAAGCTCTGGCCCACCACTCGTGCCCGCCAACATGCAGGTGCCTCTCCTGCCAAAGTGCCTGAGTGGAGCAATGGCAGGTGCCCCTGTGGGTCCCTCCCTTTCAATGCTGTCGCCCGCCTTGCACTGTCTTTGGGCCAGCGAAGTCCCTTTGAAGGAAGTCCCCCACCCCCGGCTCCTTGGGGCTCCCGGCATGGAGGAGGAGAGAATTAGTTCCCCTGGAATGAGGCCAGCTTCTGGCCACGGCTGCAGTCACAAGCATAGACTGCGAGGAGGGGGAGACCTGGGGAGGGGGAAACCAGTGGCCTTGGCTCCCAGTGCCTTTTGGGCAGAAGATCAGGGCATCTGGCCAGAATGCCGTCATGCACGGCCTTCCCAGGGCCCCGCACCCTCCCCCCCGCCTTTGGCTTGTAGGGTGTTCTGCCACTGAGTGCTCAGTTGCCAAACAGAGAGGTTCTGGGGGCGATGGATGCCTCGATGCAGCCCCTTTGACCCACAGCCCTCAACCCCTGAGCTCCCCAGAACCATAGAATCACAGAGTTGGGAGGGGCCCTGCAGGCCCCCCCCCACCCCCCCCCCCCCCAGTGCAGGATCAGCCTAGGCGGCATCCATCCCTGGCAAGAAGGGTGTGCTCAGCCACGTGTCCAGAAGCATGTGGGTTGGCTGGGCCCATTCCGCAAGGTTTCTCAGCTTTCTGCACATGAGCAGAAGTGCTCCTGATTCGCCACTGCACCCCATGTCCCTGACACTGGAGCCTGGCTCCGATCACCCCCTTATTGACCCACACTGCACACGGAACATCTCAAGCCTCCCCAGGCCTTTGGTGTCAGGTTCCATGATCCATGAGCCAGTCAATAGAATATTAATGGCCCGTGACGGGGGAAATCCGATGCCCAAAGCTCCGGTGTCAGTCACCAGATAAGGGGAGACGGGGCGGGCTTGAATCCCCAGTGCGCTCCCCAAGCCTCTTCCTGCAGGAGGCTGCCTCTCCTTTCATTTGTGGGGGGCACCTTCGTCTCCGTTTGGGCCCCTTCCATCCCAGCACACAAATTATGGGTGAACCGGAAAGCGGCAGAGGCTTCGTTGATGACTGTTTGGGCAAAGCCTTCCTGTCCTCCTAAGACCCTGTCCCCAGCTTGGAAGCAGAGTTGGAAGGCCGGAGAGGTGGCCCCGGGGAGGAGGAGCAAGGCCACTTGCACCGGGCAAGGCCAGACCTTGAGGCCGGGCCTTCGCTGGAGGGACGGGGGGGGTCGGGACAGGACACTCCGGGCCACAAAAGGGCACCATGCAATCAGCTGCCTCAGTTTCTTTCTGCCCTCAAGCAGGCTTCCGAGAGACCTTTCTGCTTCCCCAGCTCTCTTCCCCCTCCCTCTCCCTGAGGTGGGCAGAATCAAGACCCCCCTAATTGTCCTAATTTTGTCTCCAGAGTGTCTGGGGCAGGACCCCCGGGTGAGGCAAGAGGCAGCCAGAACCCTGCAGACGCAGCATCACTGGGACCTCCGCCCCGGGAATCAACGACTGACAGCATTGCCTGGAGCCAAAGTTTGTTCCCTGTTGCCCTGGGGTTGAATGGCTGGTACCTTCCCGGAACACCCCCCCGGGGGGGAGAGGGGACTGCTGGTCTGAGGCCTGGGGGGGGGCACCACGCTGGAAGCAAATGCGGAGGGAGGGGGCCTGTGGGGGGAGCAGCTCAGCAGCACGGAGCCCCTCAGGGATGGAGCGGGGGGGGGGAGGTGTTTCAGGACTGTAGATGTCTTGGGAAACCAGCTTCTGCTGGGGGGCTGAGGTGAGCTTCCGCTCCTTGGTCTCTCGTTTTCCTTTGTGACGAAGGGACACCAGGAGGAGCTGGGGTGTTTCTCTTATGGGGGAAGGGCTAGGAAAGGGTGCCTCACGGGGAGGAGGAGGAGCCACTGAGGCCTCCCCAAGGCAGAGGGAAGCCGTCGGCCCCGCTGAGCAGGGGAGGGATGGACTCCCCGTGTGCCTCTCTCTGTGGGTGGAGGGTGGCTGTCCGGCTGTCCAACAGTGCGAGGAAGCCCCCTTTCTCCCGGGCTGATGTGGGACCCCCGTCTTCTTGATGCTTTGGTAGTAGCGCCCTCCCTCTTCTGGGTCCAGAGCGGCGGGGGGGGGGGGTCTGGCCTGTGTAGGGTGGTCCCGCCGTTTGCCTGTAGGCGGTGCTGCAGTTGAGCCCTTTCTGGCATTGCACTTCTCAGGGGAGGCCCTTTGGCCAGTGCCGAGGACTTGACAGCGGGGGTGGGGGGGTGGGGGGCACACTGCTTGGGTGTGTTTGCTGCATACATATACAGTCCTTTCAGCCCTGTACCTAGGGGATTTTTTGGGAGGGGGCCGGGTGGGGGCCGCCAGCTAATAAAATCAAAGTTAATTAAATTAATTGTAAATTGATTAGTGGGACTCCTTGGAAGCTGGCCTTCCCCTAAGGCAGCACTGCACCCCTGCCAGGCTCCAGGGCAAGTGGAGGGGGGTGATGACCAAGGCATTCATAGCATTCAGTTTTCTGGCAGGCAAGTCAGAGGTGGTGAGTTGAGGCACTTTGGGGCCAGCCTGGGAGGGAGGGGCCCAGAAGAAATGCTAGGGGGCCGGGCCCCACGGGCCCCACGTTAGCTACGGGCCTGAGTCCTTTCCATGTAGGGCAATGCCCCTCTGGTGATGCAGAAAGAAGAGTCCTTTCAGCCCTCTTGAGCCCCAGCTGCCCCCCTCCAGGCAAGCATTTGGGAGACTCCTGCCTTTTTTTCTGCGGGGGAGAAAAGCCCCCTGGAGACTTGCCGTGACTTTGTGTGCATCGAGGTCCAGGTGGGGGGGCGACCATGTTGGTCTGAAACAGCCGAGCAGAGCCTGCGTGACCCGCCAGGCGCCTCGAAGACCGGACTCAGACTTTGTCCTTTTGCGTGAATCCGACTGCACTGCTCCTGGCTGCGCAGACCCCGGTGGGGCGTGGGAGAGGTGCGCTCACCGCCCCAGTCCCTGCGACTCCCGCGGTAGAGCCAGAGTGAGCCCCCGAAGTGGCCCCCAGTGGCCCCGGCTCCTCCTGCTCCCCTCCTGCTTCAGGCATCCCGCTGAACGGCCCACTCCCAAGACCGGCAGCAGAGCCACGTGGGGGAGCGTGCGGGGGAGGCATTTATCACACACACACACACACCCTCGGCACCTGGCTTCCGTCGGAGCCCCCTGTGCCGTCAGCAGCCCGTGAGGGCCCAGCAGCCCGCGGGAGCCCCGCTCGGTTAGGGGGCAGCAGGGGCGTAGCAGCCTCAGAGTGAGCTGGGGGGGGTCCATCTCCCCTGCCCTCAGGATGGGAGCACTGGAGCACAGCCTCCCCCACCGAGGCACCCAACCGGATGTGCACAGGGAGGGCTTGGGGTGACCCCAGGGAGGCCTCCGGTCCCTCGCAAGAGCGCCTACAACGAGGCCAGGAACTGCACCACCTCTCTGCTGCCTTTTCCAAAACGGGAACGAAACACAAAACGGCCACTGGATGATCCGTTTCTGTCCAGCAACTCCTCTGCACGAGGCCTCCTCGTCAAAATGCATCCCTGCCCCACGGCTTGCGGGTGCCGTCGCAGTGGGTTTTGACTGCAGGGAACCCGGACAGACCCCCTGCCCTCAGTGCACACCAGGAGGCCTCGGGAGCATCGCTGGGCTGGGCTGGGCTGGGGCCCGGGCAGCACGGTCTCCCCGCTGGGGGTGCTGTGGCTGCCAAACTCCGGGGGGGGGGGGCCCTGGAGACCTCCCAGAATCACAGCTCAGTCCGTCCCCCCCGGCGAGAAGGGCAGCTCTGGACGGTGGACTCCTCTGTGGCACGGTCCCCCACTGAGTTCCCTCTCCGACCCAAACCCCGCCTTCCCTCGGCTCCACCCCCAAACCTCCAGGGATCCCCCAGTGTCCAGAGCCGGCCACCCAGCCGAGGGCCCAGCCTCCCCACAGGCTCTGCAGAGGGAGAGGCGGAGGCGCCCGTCTGGCCTGCTGGCTTCTAGGGGCTGGGGGAGTTCCCCGGGGTGGTCGTGTCCCGCCCCCCCCCCCGCTTCCCCGAAGGTTTTCACGGCCCCTTGTCTCCCCGCAGCCCCTCTGTGCCCCGTGCAGCCATGAAGCTGGAGAAGGCCCGCCCAGAGCCGCCGCTGGAGTTTGCGGTCGCCACCGAGAAGGAGTTTGAGGAGATCCTGGCCATGTCCAAGGGCATCTATGGGGGTCTCGACTACCTCCCGAGCCGCTACCACTCCTGGATCCGTGAGCCCAACCGCACCGTGGTGCTGGCCAAGAAGGATGGAGCAGTGGTGAGAATCCGGGAGGGCCGGGCCTCGCGCTCTGGTCTGCCTCCACTCCCCGGACCAAAGCCCTTTTCCACCTGGGGAGAGAAAGCCTGGCCTGCAGAAGGCGGGAGAGGGGGCCCCCCCACTCTGGATACTGCTGTGGAGCCACGCTGGAGGGAGGCAGGCAGGCAGGCAGGCAGGGAGGGAGGGAGCTCGGATGTGCGACACACCTGGCCATCCTTGAGCACATCGGTAGCATGTCGGGGGGGGGGGAGCCGAGTGTGCAGAGGTCCAGCCCAGAAGTTCAGGGCCTGGCCCGGCTTTGGGAGTCCTGCCGCCTCTCAACCTCAGAAGGGCCGGCGAGGCTTAACCTCACTCGGGGACCTCCCGCTTCGGCTCCCAAGAGAAACTGGTGGATTTCAGGGTGTGGAACAGGATGATCACACAGGTTTCATAGAATCACATCTCCAGTCTGGAATCCAGATAGACATTCTTGAAACCCTTGCCTGAAAATGCCTTTGGAAACAGGTTGGTGCTGGAGTTTGAAAGTGTCCCGTGTTCGTGCCAGCGGCAATCTGAATGCCACTTCTGCCCGGGTCTAGCCCGAGGCTATGAGCAGGCCTGGGGTGGTGGGGTGGTGGGGGGAGTTATAGGCACCAAGGCCTCGTTTAAGGGACTGGTGACCATCCAGAAAGACGGACCTTCTGGGGAGGCACAGGCAGCAGCAACAGACACCAGCCTGCCGAGAAAGCAGCCAAGATGCTCTTGCGGCACCGTAAAGGTGGATGCAGCCGTGGTGGGATTGGCTTTGGTGAGCCACAAACTCCTTTCCGCCGAGGACCTGGGGCCGCTCCTGGCATCGCTCTCCCCCCCTTTTTATCCTCCGAGAGGCAAACCTGTGAGGGGGTCAGGGTGGCCGGAGAAGTGTGAGCAGCCCGTGGTCACCCCGTGAGCTCCCCTGGCCCAGCGGGGAGCTGACCCTGGACTGCCCGGCTCCAGCTCTCTAGGCCGCTCAGCCGTGCTCCTCAGCTGGGTTACAGTGCCGAGCGCTGGTGGGGAGAAACCCCCGTCCGGGGAGCAGCGGAGGATTCCCTCCAGGTGCCCGTGGCCGACTCCTCACTGATGCGAGACTGGCCAGGAAAGAAAACGAGGATTCTCTGGAAAGACGGGCAGCTGCTTCCGGTCACCAGCTGACCCCTCCCAGCCTCTGCCCAAGAGCCCAAGCTTCACAGCAGCCCAAGAGCCCTGCTGGGTGAGACCCAAGGCCCCTCGGGTCCAGCAGAATCCTGCCCACCCAGCGCCCTGCCAGCGCAAACGTGCCCCTGTGTCCCAGTGCCAGAGCTCCCCAAAGGTGCCTCCTCGCCCTCCCGAGGCACGCCCGTCACCTCCTGTGGCCAGCTGTCAGAAGCCACCCACACGCACTGGTCTTGGGCCCTCTGGGCTGTGGTGGGGCAGTTGGCCTAAGTGCAATCGTGCGCACCCCTCCCTCCCCCGCCCCCCCTGCCGCCTTTTTCTCACCCCCCTGGCAAAGAGAGAGAGTTCTGCTTCTGAGCAGACTGAGGGAGCCGCGCCGCTGAGGAAGCCTGCTTTTGCCACAAGGCGCTTGAGCCTCTATCAGGCTGGCTGCCCACTTGGGGGGGCGGGGGGGCACCCTGCACAGGCCCTTCTCGGGCCTCTCCCTGGGGCACTGCTTGGCTGGACAGTCGGGAGGGAAGGGTTCCAAGTGCTGTGCCTCCTCTGCGGTCAAGGTGCTGCAGGAGCCGAGAGCCCGGAGGGTCTGTGGACCACGGAGCTCCGCCCAGGCCCCTCGTGCGAGGGAGGAACACTGAGCCCAGCGGGGCGGGACATGTTGCTCCACAGCAGTATCCTGGGTCAATTGCTGCCCCCTCGTTCGGTGCCTTTGGGTGGCAGCCAGCTATTGCCCGGGTGGGTGGGGGTGGGCAGTGGGAGTCGGAAGCACCTGGGTCAGTCTGCCACGCACACTCCTCGTGTGTAACCTTGGCACTGGAGCTGGGCATGACTTTTGGCTTCCCCGCTGGCTTGCCCCTCCTTGGAGACAGGCAGGCAGGCAGGCAGGCGCTTTAGAGGGGCTCCCAAGCCAAGCCAAGCTCCCCAGAATTGGATCGACTAAGTGGCCTGCACGTGGAGACTTCCGTGGCCAAAGAGACAGCGGCTGGCCTGCCAATTTGGGGCCCCCCAGCACAAGACCAAACCTCTTTCTGGTTAAGGAATGACACGGTTGTGGAAGAGGTGGTCCGTGGGCTGAGGCTGAACCTTGGGCTGTCCTGCTCAGGGAGTGCCTGGATGCCCACAGCCTCGCCGAGAGCCCCCCCCCCCACATGTGCAGAGCACTGGGGGCTTGTCTGGCCCAGCGGCCTTTGAGGGCGGGGCCTTCCTTTCCACTGTGGATTGGCCTTGGCCGTTGTGGCTCAGAGGGGCCTTGGGCCGGGCCCTCCCCTCCCCTCCAGCTACCCTGGGGATGGAGCAGATGGGAAGGCTCCCAATGGCCGCTGGCTCCCCGGGGTGCTGTTGCCCCCAGGTGCGGCACATCCCCCCCCCCGTGCGCCCAGCTCCAGTTGTGCCAGGGAGGGGTTGATTTTTTTCCTGAAATTCTGTGTTTCCAGCTTCACTCTGGGCTCTCTCTCTCTCTCTCTCTTTCTTCTGTGCCTTTCTTTCTGTCTCTCCTTTTTTTTCTTTTTGAAAGAAAGCAATGGACTAAACCCAAATGATTTTCGCTGGATTTTATTCACGTAGGTGTGTGGGGGATCAGGTCCCCGTCAAGGAAGGTGGCGGGGCTCCCGCGGAGGACCGTGACGGGGCTGCCGGAGCGCGGATCCTAAATCCTTACAGTTCGGCCTCGGGACACAAGTTACCAAAATATATGTCTCCCTCTTTGTGTGTCTCTCTGCCCTTGAGACGCCCGTAGCATAAGGGGCCCCGCACAATGGTACTAGTATGACGCTTACTCTGTGCTCTCTCACTGAATGACGTTGTGCTCTTGTTTGTCACCGTTTTAATCATGTGCTCAGACTTGCCTGGGAACGGCGCTTTTGGCTCCGTCCTCTTTGCCTCCCTTCTTGCCCCCCACCCTCTCCCTGTTCCTCACCTGCTTTGTTTAATTAACGCCACCATTTTTTCCCCCAATTACAGACTTGTTCAAGACCGCCAGTCGCTCCCACTGGGCACACTAACCGTCCGTTGTCTACTTTCTCCCCCCCCCCGTCCCCCAAATCCACAACCAGATCGGGCTCCAGTCTGTCTACATCGTAGATGCTGGTGAGACAGTCCTGGTGGAGGGGCTGCGCGTGGCCCCCTGGGAGCGTGGCAAGGGCGTGGCCGGCATCTTGCAGCGCTTCTGCCTGGAGATGGTGAAGGAGAAGCACCCCAGTGTCAAGGTGTCGCGCCTGACGAGGGACGACAAGCTGGGGCCCAAGGACTTCAAGAAGTACCGGGTCATCGCCAAGCAGGTAAAGGGCCGGGGCGGGGGGCTGAAACAAACCAGGTGCTTACGAGGCAACGCGGAACTGCTTGAGGGTGCCTGGCGGCTCGGGTGTATGGGGCATGCTGTCTGAGAGAAGGGGCCACCACTCGGCAGGCGGCGGAGCGGACCCTTGGCATTTCAAGTAACTTTTGGGCACTAGTGATGAAAACTCAAGAAGAACTCAGTGCCCAGACTCTGTGTGTGTGTGTGCGTGTGTGAGCCTGACTCTCTGGTGGGGGGCTGGATTCGCACTCGGACAGGCATAGCTGTGGCTCTCTCCTGGGCCTTTCTCTGTCGGGGCGTGACAGCAGGCTCTTGCTTCAAGGCTGGAGCAAGAGGTGTGCTTCAGAGGAGTCAACACTTATGGGGTGGGGGAAAAGAGAACGACTATGGCTCTTCTGGTTGTTGAGGTAAATGTTCATTAAAACTGGCAGCGGGGGAGGGGCTCAGTGCCACTGATTAGGAATCTGCAAGACTTCCAACTTTTGAGAATGGTGCTTGTTTTCTCCCTGCCCCCCCCACGCCTTTCCAAAGGATGACAGATGGGGTGTGTGTGTGGAAGAGCATCCGCCTCACTGGCCATAATGCTGCCTGGGCAGTGGAGGGGGGTCATACATAAAAACATAAGAGAAGCCCATGTTGGATCAGGCCAACGGCCCATCCAGTCCAACATTCCGTGTCACACAGTGGCCAAAAGTACCAGGTGCCATCAGGAGGTCCAGCAATGGGGCCAGAGGGCACTAGAAGCCCTTCCCACTGTTGACCCCCCCCCTCCAAGCACCAAGAATACAGAGCATCACTCGCCCCAGACCGAGAGTTCCTATCTATAAAAAGGTAAAGGTTCCCTTGCTCGAAAGCCAGTTGAATCCAACTCTAGGGTTGCGGTGCTCATCTCCGTTTCAAAGCCGAAGAGACAGCGCTGTCCGAAGACATTTCCATGGTCATGTGGCCGGCATGACTAAACACCAAGGTGCACGGAACGCTGTTACCTTCCCACTGAACTGGTACCTATTTATCTACTTGCAATTTCTTGCTTTCGAACTGCTAGGCTGGCAGGAGCTGGAACTAGAGATGGGAGCTCACTCTGTCATGTGGCACACTTGGGTATCGAACTGCTGAACTACCAGCCTTCCACAGCCTGCAGTTCAGCGTCTTAACCACTTGAGCCACCAGAGCTCCAATACTTTGTGGCTAATAGCCACCGATGGACCTCTGCTCCACATGCTTATCTAATTCCCTCTTGAAGCTGTCCATGCTTGTAGTCGCTGCCACCTCCTGTGGCAGTGAATTCCATGTGTCAATCACTCTTTGAGTGAAGAACTACTTCCTATCATGTCACCCCTCAGTCGTCTTTTCTCCAAGCTAAAGAGCCCTAAGCGCTTTAACCTTTCTTTATAGGGAAAGTGTTCCAACCCTTTTATCATTCGAGTTGCCCTTTTCTGCACTTTTTCCAAAGCTATAATATCCTTTTAAAGGTGTGGTGACCAGAACTGCACACAGTATTCCAAATGAGGTTGCACCATTGATTTATATAGGGGCATTATGATATTGGCTGATCTGTTTTCAATACCCTTCCTAATAATCTCCAGCATAGCATTGGCCTTTTTTATTGCAGTCACACACTGTCTCGACGTTTTCAGTGAGTTATCTACTACGACTCCAAGATCTCTCTCTTGGTCAGTCTCTGCCAGTTCAGACCCCATCAACGTGTATTTGTAGTTAGGATTTTTGGCTCCAGTGTGCATCACTTTACACTTGGCCACATTGAACCCCATTTGCCACGCTGACGCCCATTTGCCACGCTGACGCCCATCCTCGACAGATCCCTTTGGAGTGCCTCACAATCCTCCCTGGTTTTCACCACCCTGAACAACTTCGTATCATCCGCAAATTTAGCCACTTCGCTGCTTACTCCCAACTCCAAATCATTAATGAACAAGTTAAAAAGCATCGGACCGAGTCCTGATCTCTGCAGTACCCCACTGCTTACCACCTTCCACTGAGAAAATTGCCCATTTACACGCACTCTCTGTTTCCTATTAATCAGCCAGTTTTTGATCCACAAAATGGAATTGTCCTTTTGTCTTTATCTAATTCGCTCTTGAGTCCTGCAGGGCAGCCTGGCTCTTGAAGCCCTGGAAGCCCTTCGCTCTCCCTGGCGCTCCACATGCAAATGGGCCGCAGTTCTGCCGGGACCGAAGAGGGATGAGGAAAGCGGGGGGGGGGTCCTCCCTCCCTTCTGAAGGGGGCCCACCAGAAGAGGCGGGCAGGCCGCAGCGCAGACAGCCAGAGGGCCTCGTCTCTCTCGTACCTTTCCTCCAAGGAGCTGAGAGTAACGCTGTCTCCCTTCCCCCACTGCATCCTCAAAACAACCCTGTGAGGTAGATCTGGGTGGGAGAGTGACTGACCCCGAAGACCTCCCAGCAAAGCACCCTGAACCCTCACTGAGCAGCAAGTGTGTGAGAAGAGATCACATGGCACCACAGTCCTGCGACATCAGAGTCAGCTGACAGGAAGAGGAGGAGCCAGAGTTATGCCCTTGAGGACTGTGGGCAGAGGACGGAGAGGGATGGGGGCAAGCGGACCCCATGCGGAGGAATCCTCTGGGCCACCGGGTCGCCCGCCCAGGGGCTAGCTAGCGGGATCCACCATGCATGCCCAGGAGGAGGAGGTGGCGGCGGCGGCGGCGGCAGTGCCGTGCAGAAGAAGCTGGGCTTGCTGTGCCTGTGTGCCTGTGTGTGTGCGCCTGCTGCCCTCCCTAGGGTGGGACCTCGTGTGGAACCTTTGGTCTCTGCTGTGAGACAGACCTCTCTTTTCAGGGATTCCCTTTCATGGGGGGGGGGGCGTTCAGTCCCGGCACACCCACCACCCACATGACTGTCCCAGGGTCCTTGCCCTTCTTGGCCCCGGGGAGGAACAGTACAAAGGCCGAAGCTGAGGGGGATGGGTGGATGACCTCGGCCCCTGGGGAGACGGGGGGGGCAGGCGGGCGGACGGACGTCTTTTCAGAGGGGGCTCCTGTGCCGGTCTGCAGCAGACGACATGGACTCGAGTCCAGGAGCCCCTGAGGGACCCTGGCCAGGTTTTGGGGGCAGGAGCTTTTGAGAGAGCCAGAGACGAGATGGAACTGAGATCTCCAGGCAGGAGGTGGGAGGGGTGCTGTGCAGAGAAGGGACTCCGGGTGCAGAGGTACAGTGCGTCGCACAATCAGCTTGATTAGAGCAGAAGGGGGAAATGCCAAGGTGCAGAAAATCACCACCTCTGGTGAGCTAAGAATCCTGTGTTCCTATTCAGCCCCGGAGTGGGGTGCATTGTTCTGAACCGTTGAATGAACTCAAGTTCCGCGGGCTCGCATTGCAATCTCCCCTTGGCGCTTCTCTGTGGTCAGCAATGGAATGACGCTGAGCATTTAGAAAGGACGGCTGGAGTCACTAAGAGTTGCTCAAGAACAAGTCATGTCAGACTAACCCTTATCACCTTTTTTTTTTTTTGGAGAAAGCTACTACCTTGCGGGATCAGGGGAATGCTGTGGACAGAGTTTATCTTGATTTCAGTAAGCCTTTTGATAAGAGTCCACAAAATATTCTTGTTGACAAATTGGAAAAATGTGGTTTGGATCCTATGACTGTTAGGTGTTAGGTGGACCCAAAGAATACTTGTTAATCATTCCTCATCCTCTTGAAGAGGAGTGACAAGTGGAGTGCCTCAAGGATCTGTCCTGGGACCTGTTTTTTCCAACATCTTTATCAATGATTTGGATGAAGGGATAGAGGGAATGCTTATTAAATGCACAGATGATGCTAAATTGGGAGGGGTAGCAAATACAGTAGAAGTCAGAGTCAGGTTACAGGATGATCTTGACAGGCTGGAAAACTGGGCTAAAACAAATAAAATGAATTTTAAAACAGAAAAATATAAAGTTCTGCATTTAGGTAGGAAAAATGAAATGCATAAGTATAGGATGAGAGTGACTTGTCTTGGCAGTAGTAAGTGTGAAAAGGATCTATCTAGGGGTCTTAGTAGACCATACACTGACCATGAGTCAGCAGTGTGATGCTGTAGCTAAAAAGGCAAATGCAATTTTGGGCTGTATCAACAGAAGCAGAGGTCATTTCGGGGGGGATCGCGGGGGATCGCAGTTCCCTCGGGTGAGGTATGGGGGCGGGGCACATGACGAAGCCCCGCCCCCTGCTTCCGGCCGCCCCACTTCCGGCCCTCATTCAGCCAGGAGGAGGCAGGAGAAGAGGGAGGGTAAGTTGCTTCCTCCCTGCCTCTCCCCACCCCTGCCTGCCTGGGGCCAGGGAGGGCCTTCGCGGGGCTTCCTTGCACTCCCGCCGGCCTTGCAGGTCCACCTGACACACTTCCGGTGATGTAAGGGGGTGTGGCATATGCTAATGAGTTACGCTAATGAGTTCCCCTAGCTCTTTTTCTATGAAACAACTTCTGAACAGAAGTATAGGGTCCACATGACGCAAACTGATGGTATTGCTTTACTCTTCACTGGTTAGACCTCACCTAGAGTATTGTGCTCAGTTTTGGGCACCACAATTTAAGAATGATATAGACAAGCTGGAACATGTCCAGAGGAGGGCAATGAAGATGGTGAGGGGTCTGGAGACCAAGTCCTGTGAGGAAAGGTTGAAGGAGCTGGGTATGTTTAGCCTGGAGAGGAGACGACTGAGAGGTGATATGAAAACCATCTTCCAAGTACTTGAAGGGCTGTCATCTAGAGGATGGTGCGGAGCTGTTTTCTATTGCCCTGGAAGGTCGGACCAGGACCAACAGGTTGAAATTAAATCAGAAGAGTTTTTGGCTAAAGATTAGGAAGAACTTCCTGACAGTAAGCACGGTTCCTCAGTGGAACGGGCTTCCTCGGGAGGTGGTGGCCTCTCCTTCTTGGGAGGTGTTCAAATAGAGGCCCGATGGCCATCTGACAGCAATGCCGATCCTGTGGACTTAGGCAGACCATGAGAGGGAGGGCAGGAAGGGTTGCCTCAGTGCTTAGTTCTCGTGGCCCTTTTTTACACGCCCAGGGAAATGCTGATCACCACTTTGGGGTCAGGCAGCAATTTTTCTCCAGAGATCCTGGAGGGTTTTTTGTCATCTTCTGGGTGTGGAACAGGGGCCACTGGGTGTGTGTGTGGGGGGGGTGGTATTTGTGAATTTCCTGCCTTGTGCAGGGGGTTGGACTAGATGACCCTGGAGGTCCCGTCCAACTCTATGTGATTCTGTGACTTGGAAGCTTCGACCAAGGGGCTCAAGACAGCCCACGTGGCTCTCTCCGCTCCACCCTTATTCGCTCAACAGCTCTCTGAGGCAGGTTAGGCGGGGGGGGGGGGGCGCTGGGAGCTTTCCATGGATGGGCCGGGATTTTCACTCAGACTTAATCTGAGGCTGCCCACTCCATCACACCAGCGGGCTCCACGTGGGCATCGTGTTTCCCCTGGGGGGAGGGGCACCCCTCACGCGGCTCGTCTCAGGGAGGGCAGGAAGACCAAGAACCCCTGGCTGGGTGGCCCACTGGGGGCCTTTGCCAACCACCCCTGTCTCTCCTGTTCCCCTAGGGGATCCTCCTGGTGCGTTTCAATGCCCAAGATCTCCTGTCTCGCCTGGACGTCACGGTGTTGGCCCTGGAGGAGGGCGGCTTCTGCCCGGAGCCGTCTGAGCTGCTCGTGGCGGGCGAAGTGGCCGAGATCGTCCTGCGAGAGTCTTTCCGCAGCGAAGTCCTCCCTAACCAGACCATCATCCAAGACTGGCAGCCCTTCAAGGCCACGGCCAGCAACCTGGGCCTCCTGCAGAAGAAAGAGCTCTGCTGGGTGGTGGACAAGAAGTCCCGCCCCACCGTGGCCACCCTCAGCACCCGCCCCTTCCCCATCCCGCTGGGCAAAGACTGGTTCTATCTCAACATCGATGTCTTTGGCCACGCCCTGGCCCACGTCAAGAGCCAGCTGATCCACCACCTCCGCCTGCAGGTGCCCAGCCTCCAGGGCAACGTGATGTGCCAGCTCTTCCTTGAGCCAGCGCTGTGGCTGGACATGGCTGAGTTCTGCCAGGGGGCCCTGGGCCTGGAATTGGCCAAGGACTACACTGAGCAGTACCTCCTGGAGTCTGACGTCTAGCTCAGGGCAGGAGGAGGGAGAGGGGCCAGGCGGGAAGGCTCCCCCCCTCCCCCCCACCCCTCTTCCCTGCATTCAAGCACTTTGTGAGCCTTCTAACATGTTATCCTGGGAATACTTGGCTCCCCCACCCCCGCCCGTCTCTTTCTACCTGGGAGAGGACAGATCTTCCTGCTCCTGTCCTCCTCCCACCTTGCTGCCCCTGAGTGGGTTGTGGCTGACCGACCGTGTGGCCGCCAGAGCGGGGAGGCGGTTGGAGTGCTGGGAGGAGGGCAACGCTGTTGAGGCCTGGGGGGGACGGGGGGGGCTGTCCTCCTCCTCCTCCTCCTATTCCACCAGGCAGCTGAGCTGACGGGTGACCGGAGGCTGAGGCAGGGCCTCTCCCAGGCTGTGTGCAGTGGGTTCACTGCTGGGCCGCAAGCCCCACGGTTTGGGTGACCTGCTGCACCACGTAAGCAGCCTTTGCCCGGACTGGGGGATCTGGCATGGCCCACTGTGCAGTGCTAGCATAGTTCCAGCCTTCTTTGTCCTTGGAAGCCAATGGGCCCAGAAGGGACCACAGGATGAGTCTCTTCTTGATGAGTGAGTCCGCGTCTCCTCACCCGAGCCCCTGCTGATCCGGTTTGCTGGCTTCCAAGCGTCTGTCCAAAGCCCTGGGGCCAGGGAACGGGTTCAGCGCTGGAGGCAACCTGGGCTTCTCTGGACGCTGAGCTCTGGAATTCTGCTCTGCATTGTGGGTCACCAAGCGCAGGGCTTCGGAGGGGGCGGGGGGGCGATACACTTCTTAGGGGGGAGATGCCTCCCAAAGGCCTTAGAGAAGGTAGTGTGTGTGTGTGGGGGGGGGGCTTCAGAAGAGCTGACATTGTGAGAGAGCCCCTCCCCCCCCATCCAGCACCAGACATGGCAGCAGCCCAGGGAGCTTAGCAACCAGGCTGACGCACTGGGCGGAACCTAGCAACGGTTGACATGGTGACGGAATGGAGGGATGTGATGACTGATGGAGTGGCCCCAAGGTCATGGCAACCTCTGCCGCCTGCAGAAGGGCTGCTGCTGCCACCGCTGCTACTGGGGGGGGGGGGCACAGCCACAACCACCCGCCCCCCCCCCCCCAGCCCCATCCGGGCACCTTCCCTTGTCCTCTCGTGACTAACGTACGTGCAATATTAGAATCTTGTAAATGGAGATATGTTTATAAGTAGATTGCCTGCAAGCAGTACTTTGATCCTCCTCCTCCTCCTCCTCCTCCTCTGCCTGTCGAGCTCCATCCCGCACCCTCCAGAGCTGGCTTCTGTAGACAGATGAGCACGTGGCACCCCCTCCCCCCTCCCCCCCCTGTGAGTAGGGTGCCGTGGTGTGAAGGAGGCTTCGGGGCGGGGCTCCGGGGAGGTCTGCTCACATGGTGGGAGGGAGGGAGGGAGGGAGGGGCCTGTGCACTACCCCACCAGAACCCCTCCCCCGGGAGTGCACTCCTTGAAATGTCCTCTGCCTCCTCCAGGGCAGCCTCTGTGTCTCCTTGGTTCTCTTGTCCTCCTGACCCTGCCAGGCAGGAGTCTCCACACCCTTGCAATAAAGCCTGGCCGTCTCTTGACCAACACTCCAGGCACTGTCTGCGTTTCATTTCTGCCCTGGGAGGAGGTGCCCTGGCTAAGAGGTGCGGGGGGGGGGGGGGGGGTTCCAGCCTACCCCTTGACAGCGACTGCTGCACTGTGGGGAGGTTTTTGGGTGTGTGTGTGTGAGAGAGTTTTTAATGCCCTGAATCCCTGCAGCTCTCCCCATCAACAAGGTTTTAAAGCTCATCCCTCCAAAGTGGATTCAAACACTGAGAATTAGGGATGGCAAGAGTCAACATTCCAGGCGCACATTTTAAAAATCCACTTCAGTTTACAGCAGCTGCAGAACTGTTGGGCAATGCGCCTCCACTTTCTTGGGATGGGGCTTGGCTAAAGAGGAGTGCCCACCGCTGCCTGGCCAGGAGTGCGTTCTGTGGCCCTCTGAGTCACATCACCACCACCCCCCACCCACCCACACACACAAAGGAGAGTTCTGTGTGAAACAGAAGCCCATGCCAACAGGCGCTAGATCCCACCTCAGACCCGCGTCCCACTGTGGCACCTTGAAAGAAACCCTAGACAAGAGTGCCCCCGCCCATGTGCCGAGCACTCCCTTTCCGACGGAGTCATCCAGTGTATGCATGACTCTCTGTGCTCCCTTCTGCTCTGTGTGGACGAGGAGGGCCCAGTGAGCCCCGGCAGGGAGGAGGAGGTGAGTGGGCTTCCCCGTCTGCAGGGGCCACCCAGTTGGTGGGGGGAGGGCCCGGGGACTCTTGAAATAAACCCCACCACATCCCCTCCAGGGCAGAGGGCCTGGATCCAAGGGAAGGGGGGGGAGGGCCTCTCCATCATGCGCAGGGAAGGCTGGGCATGAGGCAGGCAGGTGATCGCGAGCCTGCGCAGGATAAAGCCTCTGGTTCAGGTCAACGGAAAGGTCATCTCGTGGCATGAGGAGGCTTCCGCTGGCCAGATCCCTGCGGAGAGGGGCGTGCCGGCTGGGGGGGGGGCGTGTCCAAACTCCTGCAGCCTCCTTCCCGACAAAGAGCTGCCTCTCCGGGGCCCGAGATGCCCCTCTGCCGAACCCGCGGGGGGGGGTGAGGGGCATCGGGTTTTTTTACAAAACACAAAGGACCCCCGCTG